GGTGATAGTGGGGGTGGGGTAGGGTGGGGTGGGGTGGGGTGGGGGTGGGGTGTGTGGGGGGTCGGGTGGGGTGGGGTGGGGCGCGGGTGTGGGGGGGGGTGGGGTGGGCGAGGACGGTGGGCTGGGGGCGGGTTGAAACACTGAATGTTACACATCCAGGTGCCTTTCTGTTTCACGTATCACTTGCATGTATCCATGCCTGTCCCTGACGCTCCGTGTTGGTTGTATTTGCTTACATTGCTAAGTGGGCCCCAGGAAGCTACTTTTGAAAGTTGTCCCCAGGGATCTACATTAATAGAGACCCCTCTGTTTTGTTAGAATGGAGGGGTGGTTTTAATAGAAAACCTCGGTTTTATAGAAAAAGCCCTCGGTTCAGCCGGTTAACATCGTGTAAATATTACCTACTTTGGGCTATTTGGAGCCCCAGGGTATATGACCGACACCCCACACCCCTCGAGCTCTATAATATATACGCTAGCTTATGCCCTAACCTCCGACTTTGTCATATGCATGGCCACGCACGGCTGTGCATGCCGCTGGAGCGCTAGAGTCTCAGATCTAGATCTAAATTAAACAGTTCGATTTGTATAATTATAAGACTCATGAGGTCTACTACAAGCTGTTGATCGTCATGAAGCTCGATGTGGAGAGCTGGGGCATACAGCATGGGACCAAGATATTACTAGGCAACCAGCCCTCACCCGAACATAGAGTAACGAATAATCTTACAAAGACCTTAGTTATAATACCCCCTCTCCCAGGTCGATTTGGCCACCTGGCTTCGTCGAGTTCAGCTCAGAGCCGAGCCAGGCATTTCGAAACAAAGATAATAATAATACGTAATAATTAATTATATAATAATTATAATAAAGAAATACATATATATATATATATATTATTATCATGTATACTATACTGTAGACAGAGTATACAATATATATATATATATAATTTAACAAGTTAATTATATACGGGTACCTCCATCCACGCATGCATGCATGCATGCATGCATGCATGCACAATATTAGTATATACAACACACATACACATGTACATATATATTAACACACATGCATATACTATATATACATACGTACATGTTCATAGGTACCAGATAATATATATATATATATAATGAACTATATATATATATATATATATACTAGACACACACATCTATATATAATATATATATATACGCAATATTATATATATATATATATTATATTATACATGTACAGGCATATAAATATTAATACTATCAAGCCTGCTCACACATTAGTATACATAATGATTATAATATATTATATGCTGTATAGATATAATATTTAGACCTAGTACGTACCCTAAACAGTATATATATATATATACACATACATACGTATGATGTCGTCGGGGTTGTTCGTATCTGGAGGCAACGCAGTCGGTCGAGATCTCCACAGCGTGCGGCGAGCACCGGATCGAGCAGGCAATAAACGATTCGATCAAGCGGTTTTTTCAAAGTGTGTAATCATAACCTGGAGGCAATGCAGTCGATCGAGATCTCCACGCCGGCGCTGTGCTGCGAGTACTGGATCGAGCAGGCAAGCAATATTGTCGATCGATCGCGTTCTTATTTTCGGAGTTATGATCTGGAGGCAAGGCAGTCGATCGAGATCTCCATGTCGAAGCAGTGCTGCGAGTACCGGGTCGAGCAGGCATTATTTAATATTGTCGATGTATCGCATTTAAAATTTCTGATTTAGGAATTACATTGCGAATTGTGTACGTGTGTATAGTGGCGCAGGCCAGTGATCAGCGAAGAGCCCTTCGAATTCGAAGCCGAGTTCAGTGGTGGCGGTGCGACCTCCCATGTCCTGCTTAAGTATATACTGTGATGTGAGTTGTTTTAGCTGCTCGTGTGGTCATGGTTTTCCATGCAGATGTGCAAGAAGCATGTGCATATACCTCGAATTCGGGCCCGAGGTGGAAGCGAGTCGTGAGGCATGCATGTCGGAATCGGATGCAACTGTAATTTCTAGGATTTTAGGCCTGACCTGAGCATGACATCCTGTTCCATGCCGTTCACTGCGGACAGCCCTGAAGCCCGGCAAGTCCTGGAGGATGGGCATTACAATTATATTGTAATGTGCACTGTCTCGAATGCATAATATATATATATATATGTACATATGCAGGACATTCTCCGCTTCCATATCATCGACGACGAGGATCGCTTGGTGAAATTGCGGAAAACCCAGGCGGGTTTGAGAGAGACGTACATGTATAACTGTACTACATATAATAAATTTAATCATAATACACATATATGTATATATATATATATATGATGTCGTAATATTATTGATGCCCACGGCCAGGCCAAGATCTTCGAAGTCGCCCTCGATGGGCCCGCGAGCGCGACATCGGCACCCAGTCAGCAACCACTACCCTACATCGATAATTAAGCGCAGGGGGTATTATAAGAAATAACAAATTATACTAATAATTACCCGATGTATATACAGTGCATATATATATATATATATGCCACATAAACCCTACGGTATACTTGAGGTTGTATATATTATATAGTATATATATACACACACACTATTTTTCCTATATATATATATATGTTAATATATACCGTAGTGCGTGTGCATGTATGTGTTGATGCGTTATATCTAACTTATATAATATATATATATATACAACTATATTATTATTTAAAGATGTTCAGGTCGAGGTGAACTACCGCATCCTCATGGACATCTATGCAAGCTTCAGTGCCTGCGGCATCCCTCCACTTACGATGTGGAAAGACTCTCGGTAGTTGATACGTAATTATTACACGCATGTGTATGTGTGGCAGTGTGGTTAGTTAGGACTTCGATTCTGAGAAATGCATGCAGGAGGTCATACGATCCCTGGCCGTTCGATATGGCATATTTCCTCCGCAAACCAGGAAGAAGGTCATCAAGGAGTGGAGTCGTGATTTGTATGGGGTTCAGAAGTTTCATCTTAAAGCCATGTCTGGAATTAAGGGGTTGATTTAGGTGGTGGAAGTTATATATATATATATATATATTAGTATATAATATTAAAAATAGCCAACACATATACACTATATATATATATATAATATTCTATATGTGATATAGTGCTATATATATATATATATTTATTTACATGTGTGTATGTATATATATATATGTATATATATATACACACACATATATATATATATATATTATACGTACATATATAAATATTTAATATATTATATATTAAATATATAATAGTCGTTCAATATATATTAATGTTTATCCCGACAGCTTTATGTGCAGGAATGGGCACAGTTGTCCGCCTGCATCGGGAGGCAGGTGGCTGTGCACGGGCTTGCACTCGCTGGCCGTGCACCGAATGGAGCCAGGACTAGTGTACATTCTGCAATGTCCGTTAACCGTGAGCTGTTGTTAACTCTAATTCCTATATTCGCCCGCTGCGCAGGAAGAAGCGAATCCAAATGCTGAAACAAGTGATCAAGCTTACCCTCGAAGGCGCTTAGCTAATGATGCATGCTTAGCTAGCTAAATAATATAGAATTAGATCCAGCCAGCACCTGCCAGCTTGGTCTACCAACCCCGACGGCCTGCTGGAGCATAACATTTCGGCTGCTGAGAACGACGTTGCTCGGTGGCACGTATACCGCTCAAGCCCAGGAAACCGATTTCTTCGAATTTAATATCTGGACTACGAGGTTTCTTACATTGGGATTCGCTAGGTAGATATTAATATCTAGACCGAGCCATCTTCCAAAACCCCCATGTTAAATCCCATACTCGAACTATAATTGTCAACTCATTTTATTAAGGGGCCTAGCTCTCATGCACTATAAGTAATGCTAAACCGCAGTGTTATTACTGCTACTCCTAATCCTAGGACTCCTACGCGCTACTACTACCACTATATATTATATAATAAAAAACTAATAATAATAAATTTTATAATATATATATTATAATAGTAAAAATAGTAGTATGTATAATAATAATAATAATCATATATACTACTACTACTACTACTACTACTACTACTACTACTACTATATACTACTACTACTACTACTACTACTACTACTACTACTACTATATACTACTACTACGAGTCCTACTACTACTACTACTACGTCTACTACGTATACTACTATTACTACTACTACGAGTACTACTACTACGTACTATACTACTATTACTATATACTACGACTACTACTACTACTACTACGACGTCGACTACTACTACTTACTACTACTACGATACTACTACGCTACTACGACTACTACTTATACTACTACTACGTATACTACTACGACGACTACGTACTACTACTACTACTACTACAGCTAGCTGTATATATATATATATATATGTATATACATTATATATTAATATAGCTACGACTTCTACCACTACCACGTGCATACTTCGCTGGTATACGTATACGTATACTACGATCTGTAATATATATATATATATATATGTTTTATAATATTATAACTATATTATACGACAAACAAGCCCCGAATTTCGATGACTCACCAGCGACCGAAGCTATCATGATATTAACTGTGCATATATACCCAGAACCCTAAACCCCTAAACCCTAAAGCCCTTAACCCCTAAACCGCTTGACCCCTAAACCCCTTCACCCCTAAACCCCTTGACCCCTAAACCTTAACTAAGCTGCTTAAGCCCTAAACCCCGTATTATTTAGAACCGAAAGGCCCTGAAGCCCTTCCCAGGTGGATACATCACCGGCGGATACCGATGAGGATCTGGACCCGAATGAGGAACCTGCCGTGGAGGTTTGAATGGGCTGTTGCACGGTTATAGAGCTTTCAGTTTTCGGGCACAGACAGCCTCGAAGGTTGCACATGTTATCGACCCGTCCACCCTGGAGACCCAACTTCCCGACCACGATTTCTGTGCAGATGCTCCTATTGTGCCCGGGGTGACCGACTCTAGACTAAACTATGCAGGGTGAGGAGTCTTGCTTATAGTACTGGCAGTGCTTCATGATCATTACATAGACAAGCCCGGAGCTCAGGTGGGAAAAGAGATCCTCGAGAACTCCAGCGGTGGGTCTACGACTATGGGGCCACCAAAGCATGCGCCCGAGAACCGTCGGCAAGCTCTGAAAGACCGTAAGCCCTTGCTCCCCGACACAGCCCTGAACCCCCTGGATGCCGACCTCGAAAAGCAGCTGGAGTACTTAATCGACACAGTCGATGCGTTGAATGCCACTGAAGACGTGGTAGCGATGCAAGCTAAGGCGGGGCATGTTAGCATGTACATGTACATATATTTTTTGATGCACCTAGGTCCTAGTGTCAAACATATAGCCCATTCTCACAGCACAGGTTCGCAAGGCTGCTCGCGAAGGCTTGGCTGATGAGGAGCCACCGTGTAAGAAACCCAAAGCAAAGGCTAAGGCAAAAGGCAAAGCAAAGGCAGGGAAGGCTGCTGCCGAGAAAAAGAAGGAGCAGGGGGCCAGGGACCGGGAAGGCTCGAAGGAGTCAACTGGGGAAGGGGACACGGAAAGCTCAAAGGAGCCAGCAGCAGGGTCTGGCGGGGCGGACGTTGTGAACACAGATCCAGCAGCAGGGTCTGGCGGCGCGGACGTTGTGGACCCAGACTCAGCAGCAAGGTCTGGCGGTGCGGACGTTGTGGACCCAGATCTAGAGTCAGCAGCAGGGTCTGGCGGTGCGGATCCGAATAATAAGCCGGAGGCAACAACGGGGGAAGGGGACGTGGAAGGCTCAAAGGAGCTAGTGCCATCGGGGGCAGCCAAGCCCAACAAGAAGAGCGCAGAGGAGCTCCAGTACCAGTGGGACTTGGAGGTCATCATTCTGTAATTATGGTATTTTTTTGCAGCACGGTATGGGCTGGAAAGATCTAGATCGAGAGATCTGAAAGAAGTGAAAATAATATAGAGGTACTCAGCCTACCAACTCATGTGTTATATTGTAAATATGTGTACTGCGCATGTGAACCCATAATTATTATGAAGTGCGATCCAAGGCAAAAGAACTCCGTGATGCTGACATCCCGATTCCCATTGGATTTATGCCCACACGCAAGAGCTACACGCTGAAGTATGAGGGAGAACACAAGGCTGACACCAAGCTCGGAACGATCAGCATCCTGTCCTTCATCCCGCAATTAATAATGCAGCAAATATATTCTCATGCAGCAATATATATTCTCATGTCGCTTAAGCCGTATGTGATTTGGAATCGTTCATGTTACTCTACTGAGGTGGGCTCAAAGGCAGGTCTATGTGAACAACGTTGTCAACCTCGACGCATGTGAGAATGGCACACGACCGAATATCAACAAGCAAGGCGGAGCTACTTTAGCTCCCCGAAAGTTAGGTGGATGGAAGATAGCTTTTGATATCGCGAAGACTCTTGCGGGCTGGCGCGCCTCAAAGCAAGCGTGAGCCCACGTCGACTCGCAGCACCTGAAGTCATTTTTGATAGGTTCCACTGTCGGGTAGTGGTGCTGACATTTCGGTTTCTTACCGGGCACGGGGCATGTATGTGCTCAATATATATTAGTACCTTTAAAGTCCCTGAGCCTCCATCGAATCATATACTTATATGCATCTGTGCAATCTGCCCCGGGAACGAACTGCTCGATGATTCCTAGATCCAGTGCATGTGTGACTTCACACATGCGTGTTCAAATTGCGTTTGAAGATACGATCATCTATCGACCATGCGATGCAGTGCGATCAGGTGAAGATGCTGTGCCGGGAAAATCAAATGCAGTAGGTTCATGTTGTCGATGTGTATTCATGCTGCTACTGTGGTTTGGGCAGCTAGCTGGCTGCATGAGCAAGTAGACTGCAGGCATCGTATCCACAGCAGTGCCGAGCTAAAACATGGAAGGACACAGGCAGCTATGGCTGAGTGCCCGGAGCGCTTCTGTGGTGATGCTGTTAGGGGGCCCAACTCTGCTGTGCCTCGATTCAGCATGCTAGACGAAATGCACAATACAATTCACATGCACTGGTATGACTAAAAAGACATGTCATTATAATATAAGATAATAATATACTAATTATATATATATGTATAAAATTATGTAATATTTGTTATTCGATACTACTAATATAATAGTATATATATATATACACAGACATGTGTGTGTGTGTGTTCCACGTATCTGTGCATGTCTATAATACATGATATATATATATATATATATATATATTTATTACGACATGTGTGTCATGTTTCAACACATATATACATATGTACGTGTACGCGTATACATGTGTATGTATATATATATATATACACATGTACACATGTGTATATATATATATATATATTTATATAATAATGTTTCGTACTTTAAGCACATATGTATACATTTTAATTAATAATGATTATATATAAGCGGCTAGCATATATGTGTTTACATGTATCGAAGCAACTCGGCAGCTAAGGATTCACCTCGCGGACTACATCTGTCAGTTGGCCGAGCGCGATGAAGGGGAGCCGGGAATGCCAAAGATCAACTGGGTTCGTGTGCCTTGTCGTGCTTCTCGAGGGGTGATGATTTGGAAGACTAGAAGACTATCCAGACATACATAGCAAAGCTTTAAGGGACCGACCCAGATTTCCCCGAAATCTAGGTAATCCCTACACATATATTCTAAACCCGCTCGAACAACACGAACCAACATCCCAGGACCTTGACATGGTGGAGTACTTCTCCGGCCAGGCGGCACTTACAAAGGAATTCCGACCCTAGACTGATATTAATTTAAATACATATATTTGATCCAAGCAGCAAGTGCGCTAAATATGAACACACGGAACATGATCTTAGGACGACTGGGCATGAAGACGTTCCGATCTCAGTGTCGGTTTCGGGTCAGATTAATTCGCTTTTAAAGTCCTCAGCTCTACATATAAGGCAATGGTTCGACATCTTGGGTGATCGCGCCGACGGTGTGAATGACCTTACTACAACGTCAGGCCTTCTAACGGCGATCAGAGACCTATTACGATTGAAGCCCGGCGGACTCGCCTGGTTCGGCGTTCCGTGTAATTCCTGGATCTTTATGTCAATGGCGACACATCGGCGGAATATAGCCATTATGGGCGATCAACGCAGCTACTGCCGCAGGGGGTACAGAGCTTACATATAAGAATATCGGGGTGATAATATATATAATAAGTAGTTACATATATGTATATGATATACATATATATATATAGAGAGAGAGAGAGGGTGATAGGATTAATTTGGGTTTATTCTGGGTTAGTATAATATTATACCTAATATAGGGCTCCAGTTACCCAAGTATGTTACTGGGGTATAATACATATATATATATATCTCTATCTATCTATCTATCTGTTATATAAGCTACTAGGGTTAATACTTAAGGGAACCCTTTAAAGGAACCC